ACCTTGCACTTGGCCTTGTTGAAAAGCTTTGTACCTGCAAGTATGCTCAAGTGTTGCAAAGAAACGTTCTTACCTCTGCAAACAGAGTGCCCTGGGGTTCAAGATAAAGACACATGCCATGCCGTTGGTTATCCAGGAAATCTTCTAACCTCAGAAACTTTACTGCACAAAGAGATCTCCAGTCACGCCAATAAACTGAGATTTCTAATTCACGTGACTACAACAGGAAACATATACACAGGAAATAACTTATTAGTAATTGTTCTGCAAGAGTTACTTCTGCGTAACCTAAGATGTAGCAACTCAAGGATCAAGATGCAGAGCTGTTATAGAAAAGTGCCAGAGCTAACCAGCCATCCTGAGCAAGCTCTCACTAGGACAATCCTAGCATTCCACTTCAGTTCAAATGTGATCTCCAGTGCCCAAACAGAAGTGTAAAATTCCCTCAAGAGAGAAGGAGACAGTCACAGTCACCAGACTTCCTGAGTCAGTCAGTGCTAGGTTCAAGGTATTTAAGCTCATGTTCTGAATTTACCTGTGTATAGAAACCTCAACTTCACTCGTTTTTCACATTCTTTACAAGTATCAGTTGCATCTCATGACTACACAGTGACATTTCAGTAGCTGCACACATGTCGTGATGCAACTTCACGCAGCATTTCTTGAAACACGTACACTTTTTCCTAACATGGCGTGGAGGGGCAAAAAGGTTTAAACTAACAAAAACTACTGCTGTATCTTGCCAGTGGGATTTACATATTAGGGTGCCTTGCATGCTTGTTACAAAATGTGAAGAATCCTGCAATACCACATAACAGCAGCATTGTATGTTACTAAGTTCAGTTAGCACACTTCAATCCCATCACGATGCATCAGTTTACTGTCTATGTGATAGCTGTAGGTTTTAAAAGAAACAGGAGCTAAGAAGCAGCAACAGATAAAAACATGTTTGGGTTGAGACTGTGCATTTCAAATACAGAAGGATGAGTTGTCATGCCCAGCAGAAGCAAGGTCCTTTTCTGGCACAAAAAGCCATGAGAGTTCTTAAATAGTGAACTAGGCTGGTAGGAACAGCTGTGAGACTTTGATTAGTCCTAGTCTTAATCTGATAATCAGGACTCCCCAGCTACTAGTATTGTTCTGTACTGCTCCTAACTGGAACCTCAATTTCTCAGCCTGCAAGGCTAAAACTGCTCCTTCTAGGTGGAAGGAATCTGGTTTGGGGCTCGGAGGGGAGGGGAGGGGCGCAGTGGTGTGAGAGCAAAAACAGGAAGGTAGCTTTTTTTTTTTAATTTCCCCTCCTTGTTTGTTTTAAACATATACTGGAGATGACATTTAGGCTCCTAAAATACTGTTCAATTTTCAGTCTATTTTAAATACTGATGTGGAAAAAAAACATCCTTGCACCTTAAAATACTATGACTACCAGGTATCTAAAACCCAAATGCTTGATTCAACCGATGTAACAGAAATTCTCTTCAAAAAGCTGTGACAAAAGAAACGTCACGCAGCATTTCAGATACTTGCATCCTCCAAGTAACATTTAAAGTTCTAGGAAAGAACTAGTAGTGAATTTATTTATTATTCCTGAAGAAGTGATCAGCTTCACATGAGGACACTTAAAGAAGCACTGTAAAAATTCTAGGACATAACTTTACCAAAATATCCAAAATTTATCTTATATTAGAATTTACTGATAAATAATGAGAAGCTGATAATCCTAATAAAAACTTAGAGTCATCTATCACAGGCTAAAGAGATGCTAAGTGTTAGTTCTTAGATAAAAATACAACGTCAGTATGAAGGCCAGAAAAGGGAAAGTTTCTAAAATGCCAGCCCAGCGTAACAGCTTAACCCCAGGGAGCTTTTTCTGTTAAGGATGGGCATGCTGGCACATACAAAATCTGAAGATAATCAGCACAACAGTAGGAAAAAACAAAAACAAACAAACAAAAGCAACATGAAGTTAGTCTAAAGAATCGACCACAGCTGCCAAAGAAGGAAGACCACATTTTTACCCTGTCTAGTTCCAGTGTAAATTTCTGATCCCATGACTGATTGGAAATAGGTTTCCAGCTAGTTTGACCAACCACAGTGTTGTCCAGCTTCAGTACAGCACAGACTTCATCTGCAAGTAAAGTACACAAACTCAGCTTAAGTCTTTAAGAGGATTTTCCACAAACAAAAAAATCTTCAGTAAGTTTCCCTTAAAAATGTAATCTCATATTTAATTAGTTCTTACAGGCATAATAGCGTAGTTGTGGTGTTTTTTTTTTTTTAAACAACTTGACAGATGAAGAAACAGGTAAGTTTAAAGCTTCACATCAATTTAGTATTTTACGTTACAAAACACAGCATGCACAGTAAAATGTAAATAAAAGATATGCATGAAAATAAGAGAAGTAAGAGTATACTGAACTGGACAAGTCATCGGTTTTCAGAAGGTTTCTAGTACTCCCACTCTTATTTTTACTGGTTCTGCTCATGAAAGAAGTTCTGGCTTCATTTGGACTCCAACCAGGTAGCGTAATCGATGTGGCTTTTGATCGACCAGGGACGTTTTCCAAAATATCTTGACAGCCCATCAGCCTAACTTCCAGGGTACCTAGAACAATACAGACAATGATTTGTCAAAGATTTGTGTCCTCACGTAAACAAAAGTAATGACTGATGATTGATTTATGGCAGTAGCTCACATTCTGACCCCCACAGGGTGTAACAGAAATGTCAGATGAAATCAAGAGACAGACAAATATACTGAAAATAAGCATTAAAAGTCAAACATGTGGGATTTAACCTTCTAAAAGGAGCAATGGCTCACCAAAATAACCCACAATAAACTTTTGTTTGGTGTCTCAGAAGTAGCTTCATTTCCTTCACTTAAGAACCTAACTAACTTGGGTTCAAGTTGTAAGCAATGTCATTTTTTAAGATGACAAATCTTAAGTTTCTTATTCAAGTGATGGGACCTTGCTGATGGGACAGTAACAATTTTTCAGGAGTTTTCTATAACGAGGTAACATTGGATAGATAGCTATGGTAACTGAAATGAACACACAGACTCCTGAGAGTACAAATGTGTTTAAGATGCATTCAGAAATTACATTTGCCGGCTGCATGCTGAAGTCAAATTTTAGTACATGATTTACAATCATTGAATTGTTCCAACTTGACTGAATTTGGATTTGTAAAAGCTCAGATAAGAAGCTGCTCTTCAAAATCTTCTACATCTTTAATCAAATGAGGTATAGAGGCTGCTGTTCTAATTTAAGAGAGTTTCCTCCAGCAGCACAGAAACATCTGAATACCACAGATGGTTACAAGACTGGTAGGCTTACCTCATCCTGTACAAGATAGCATCTGTGAAACTGCAGCACCACTGACACTAACAAAATGAACTATTAGAAGTGGTGAAGTTAGCCAGTCCATAATCACCCTGTCAGCTAGAAATGCAGCTCCTAAATGCAGCGTTCTTTTGACAGCAAATGTACCTAACTGTGAAACTTAAGTACTCTTTTGTAACAGAAACTTAAGTCAGGCTTGACCTAAAAATGGTCTGGCAACTTATAGCTGACAGAAGAGACACCAAGAAATCAGTCTGAGAAGAAATGCCATCCTGTAGAGAGCCAACAGTTCTAAGTGACAGGTAAGTACTGTGCTATGAAGACAAAGAAATGCAATTGGCTCCTGAAACAGATTAAAAGGTAAAATACTACTTAATTCCCAAACACTGTTTAGGGGAAAAAAAAAAGGAATTAAGGAGAAAGGCTATAATCTTGTATAAGGACTGGATGCATATCAAAGTTCTGTTGATGTGCTTTAAAAAGTATGACAGCAGCACTGATGTATTTTTCACAAAGCATTAGAGGCAAAACACAAATTTAAATCCAGTTCAACACAAAAGCTCTTTATGTAGCTAATACAAAAGTGAAACTATTAAGAACTTCGCAAGCATGTAGCTCTGTTTTGATAATTCCTAGTAGAAACTGTTCATTTTTATCAGTAAATCACATCTAGAGAGGAATTATTTGTCACTATAATATATCTCACCAATGATTATGTACTACAGAAGAAGAATACATTTTAAAAAAGCTGTTTTAAAAGCAAGAGGCAGTACTTCCTGCCCATGGTCACTGATCATTTGAGATCCTGTATGATGAAAAAAAGTTCCCCTCGCTACTGTGCGACTTCACAACGGCTCTTGGCTGAGGTCCCGATGGGTTTTTTTTACCCTTTGCTACACGTCTTACCGAACCAAAACGGAAGACAAGTAGACTTGCTCCATCTTATTATTATTACAGCTCAGCAGAAGAGTTCCTCTTTTTGTTTTAAAACATAACTCCACAGTACTTCAAAAGTAAGTCCTTGTTTCGGTTATACATGTGTAACTAGAGTAACATTCCAGTGACACAGATTCTGTAATAAACTTATCTCTCTTAATTCTAATACCACCACTTATTAAATACATTTAGTAAAGCAATTAAAGCAGTCAAAAGTAATTTGCTTTTCTTTAAAAACACTTGGAGACAAATGTTTAAGAGCTTTGTTAACATATCTTGAAACAATATAAAAGGCTCATCTCTTGAAACAATACACTGCCAATGAAGGACAACAATTCCAGGTGAACCCAAACTATGAGAAGTTCCTAACTCTTATATTTACATAGAAATGCACTCCTTCCTCACAGTCAGCTAAGTCTGTAAAAACAAACAAACAAAAAACCACCAACACCAAAATCCTCCATATTTAGTTGCAAGGAAAGCAATTCACACCAATAAATAGAGGCTTCAGTAGTTCCCTACCCGTTCCTTAGTACCCCCCTCTTTGGTTCACAAATGTAATCACGTATTTAGAGATTTTAGCTCACCACCTAGGAAGTCAGTGTGGTACAGTGGGTAAAACAGGGACTGAGAGAAAAGCTGCATGCTACCTCCAGCTCGGCCACTGACTGTTTTATGACCAGGGCAAGTCACTCAGCCCTTCTGCACCTCAGTTTCCCCCCCCATCTGTCAGATGGGAATAATGATACTGACCCACCTTTTAAAGTGCTCGATAATCTAAAGATGAAAGGTGTTTGGTAAACGCCTGTAATTCTGTTCCATAGTAACCTAACTTAAGGCCAGAACTACACTTTTTCAACAGGATTCTAAAAAGGTCAACAAATAAATAAAAATCAGCATTTTTTTGTGCATTCTAAATGCCTTTGTCTAGGAAAAGAACAATAATGAAATATATCCAGAAAGAAATGAATTTGGCATTAAAGACTTGATGAAGCCGCTCAATAAGACAAAGCTCCACACATCATACCTGTTAACGCTGCTGGTTTGGACAGTGTGCTATACTGGTTCTGAGTAGATATTACACTTTGACGAGGACTTAACGTGGGTGAAGAGACCAATGAAAGCTCCTCTATAATAATACTGCTTTTGGGATGATTTTTCGGAAGTTCACTCAATCTCTGTTCCAGTGAATACTTCAAGAGGTCCAACTTCTGGCTTGATTCATTAAATCTTGCTTGTGCCTTTTGTAAATTAACAAAAAAAGAAAAAAAAAGAAGTCGGGTTTTTTTCCCCCCTTTGGAAGAATACTGATAATAAAATATCAGAAAGTGTAATTATGTAAATTACTTCTGAGAGTGCCTTTCTGTCGGTAACTTTCCCAGATCCAAGTAATTTCATCACATTTTTTGCACCTTCTGCTACAGCATACTCTATCCTAAAATGATGCCGCAATTCTTCCATTCGGAGTTCAAGAGGGCTTATCACAGGTTTTGCTGCAAAGAGATACAAACAATCTTCATTGAAGACAACACCCATGTTTAATTTCTTTAATATTAACTCCTCCTCCATAAAAACAGAGGGGAAGTGAGATAAAAAGAAAAAGAAGGGGGCATGGGGGGTGAAGGACAAGGAGGGAGAAGGCGTGGGAGATGCATTTTTGGTAATCCAAAGAAAAGCTTGAAGTATATCATAAAAGCAACAGTGAAATTTGAAGCATCTGCATTTGAAGGAGAAAATACTTGATCAGGGCTTCAATCCAATAAACAGGGTCTGCTCTTTAAAGAGCTACAGTTGTTAGAGGATGCAAGAAAAACGTAACATATCTTCAGGGGACTTAAGGGACAAAAGCTAAATTTCCTGAACATCACTCAGCTGGCAAGAAGGAGGTTTTGAGACTGCCAGATTTCTGAACCACACTGAGGATTTATCTTTTAAACTGCTCTGGAGCTAAGTGGATCCCTGATCGGTTTCTGATCATTCTCCTGCTCCACATGAAATCCTAGGGAATCTGGTTTCTGCCAGCACAGAGAATGTAAGTGGTCCCAGACACTGCCGTCCCCAAATGGTTTGGGTTAACCCCTCTGATGTTTTTTAGATTTCCTAAACAGAGTTAGAAAGTTTCCTGGCTACAAAAAAAAGCTCTGTAACTTTAAACACAAAGGAATAAGAGTAGTAGGAACACAAAAAAGCATTTGAAAACCCTTCCTAGCTTGAATACCTTTCTTTTTCTTTTGGACAAATACACAATCCATGTGCTAAAATAGGGTGTTAAAAAAAAGAAGCATCAAAAGTGTAAAAACAAACAAACACACCTCACAAAACAAAACACACACAATGTTTTCATTATCTAGGATGTATCCAGGCCCTGATTAGGACATTGTCATACAACTTCAATAATCAGAAATATATACAAATGAAGTCCCAGACAGAGATGTACCAATATGCCCACAATTTTATACTCATGCTATTATAGCTCTGAGGTATTTTTATTTAAATAGTTCCAAAGAAATGCAGGTTTAAAACTACTTCTGAAATGCAGCAGGCGTGTTTCAAGTCAAGTCATTTTAAAAACACTGATTGCTGTTGCTCTTTTTAAAATAGTTGTCTACTGCTCAATCTAGCCTAAATACCCATGAAGACAGCAAAAATTCGCCTCCATCTGTGCTCCCATTAGTAATAATAAGGTCAATCTATTTAAGGATGACAAGCAGGCTTTGCACCTGTGTCAATTTTTTTTTAGGATACTGAAAAGATTATATGCTTTAAAGAAAATTACTAAAAGAAAACACGCATGAAGGGAGAATGAAGACCACAAAGGAAAACTGGACTGCAAAAGATATAAAAAGGACGATGAAGAGGGATTGTATTTCTCTTCATTAAGTTGAAGGTATTTTGCTTCCAGTCAGATGTATTTGGCATCCTAACACAGAATGGTATGCCTAGTCTCTCAGTATTGTTGGTTCATCCAAGTTTTGTCTACCATTCCTACTAGAAATTGATGATAACTCTGTGTGCATATGGGTGCATATCTGCATGGCATTCTGACATTCATGATTCATATTTCCTTTCTACTCCATCACCATTATCAAAAGCCAATTCATTGGTCTGGACTGCCTGAAGAATCTGCATCCTTATAACTTCTATTTTTGTCTTGCTGTCCTGGAGCATCTGCTGAGCTGTGGCAAGAAGTTTTCGATCCTATTAAAACAAACAAGTTGAAATTGTAAATGCTTCATGGAACAAAATACATTGAAAGCTTCAAAACCCACATGCTTTAGGAACAGGAACTAAATCTACGTAGTTATTCGGTATAGCATACTGGTTCAACTACCCACGTTAGTGGAAATTAAGTTAGGACAGAGGCATACTCCAGTTGATTAAAGACTACAAGCCACTCCCATGGAATCTATCTGTTTAAAGCTGAATGAAGGAGGCAGGATTTAGCAACTTTACATGTGTAGATTAATGTTTTGTAAACTGATACTAAAGAATGGACAAGTTAAGTGCAAAAAACCTCCATCCTACGGAGAATTACTCAAATTTACTGTGACTACGATGAGAACTCTTCTAACAGACAAATTTGCTAGACTAAATCCATGTAAAAATCACTGTACTAATTCACTTGAGCTGATTTTCAATCTTGATATTAGAAATATTAAATTAGTTTACATGGCACATTATAAATAAAACTGCAGTATGTTTTTCTGAACAAATCAAAGCTGAAGGTTTTTTTGCATTAATAAATACATAATATATGAGGGTTACTTCATCAGCAACTTCAAGTATAGTACTTTCCATCTAAGCTAACTGATTATTGTTTTCAAAAACAGTAGAAGCAGCAGCTTGGAAGAGAGCATTTCTGAAAATGAACTTTCAGACTAACGGGTAATGCCTTTTCATTGTCAGGCGTGAAGCCATCCATCCACATGTTTCTCGGTGATACCATTTTTTTGTCCTCCAGCTGCTGGAGATCTGATTTACAAGGGATTGTGCAACAGTTCTTGAATGTTGAACTGTGCACGTGCTTCTGTGGCTGCTGCATGGCTCCCTCTGAATGTTCTGGGAACTACCAGATAACTGAAAGGTGATCTGACTTGCCGTAAGAACAAAAAAAGCTTTATGAGAAAATTTAAGGCAGTCTATGTCCTGCCTGTTCAGTGCCAATCAAGCATAGTAATTAATAGAAGTCAGCATAATGAGTATCACACTTGTTACAACCCAAAAGGTATTTCGGTTAACTCATTTTGCAGCCATTCTATAACCTCATTAATAAGTTACTTTCCCATGGATATGGTTTATACTTATATTTTTAATTTTATAATGACGTTACCAATTATTTAAGAAGCTGAAGAGATTCAATTCTTCCCCTTACCACAACCAAGACAAAGAACTACATTGTAGCACAGACACCTGGAGCTAGAAATAATGGCATCATGAGGGATACTGTGAGAAAAATCAGTATGCTGAGAAGAGAGAGAAGTTTACCTTCACAGAGCTCCGCTATGACCTCGTGCCTAATGTATTACTCACTTGGATATTTTAATGCTACCCTATGTTCTGCAGGGTAAATGCACAAGATACACACATGAAAAGGCTTCGGCTGCATGGGGAGAAATCATGCCCACTCTGCATACCGTGGTGTCAGAACTCTTGGTTTCAAGTTTTAGTGTTAATCAACATTTTAGAGAGATACCACTAGACTTTATACTTTAAGATTCCATGTTAGCTAACCAATTATTTAATGAGCACACTGAATTTCCTATGTGAATGCCTTCTCAAATACAGATGTCAACTTTTGAGAGAACCACTGTCTACAGCAAAGGATTACAATCAACTCTAGAATCCTGGATTAAACCTTATCCATGCATCATTCTGATGTATCAATATGCTGTAAGTTTTTCTTTGTCTGTATCTTCACTTTTATCTTATTTTTGGTCTTGCTGCTATTTATCCCTCCCATCCTCCTACTGCAATGGATTTGCTTGCGCAGGGGCAACAACAGCACTTCAGTGTGTAAAATGGTGGTAATTCAGGATTATTAGATAGGTATCCTTATGTTTTCAAGAGACAGAAAATACCATCTTCAGAATCAAAATGGATGTGTTATACTCAGCAGCTCTTTTAGTGTTGAAGGCTGAATGCGAAGTATTTCAAGGCATCTCCTGAGCACAGAACAACTGCCTGTGTCTGTAAAACCCATTCGCAAAGCTGTTGTGGGATCTCAGAGGATCCACACAAGTCCAAGGAAAGATGAAGCAAACAGAATAAGTACAAAGGGAAATCCTTCCCATGAGATGATAGGTTTATTACTATAAACAGGCTCTCTTTTCATATTTAAGAAACAAATTATGACCTCCCTCCATTAAATTTAGGTCTGAAAATAATACAACAAATTTGAAATTAGATAATATACTATACTTGAATAAAGGTCACAAAAGAGTTTAACATATATTAAAGAGGATCCCACAACTACTTTTTAAAGAACTACTGGATTACTGGGCTTGGATTTAAACTAGGAATTTCTACCCTTTTTACCAAGATACTTGAGCTGGTTTAAGCTCTGCTTTTTCAAATGCCGTCACCAAACTCAAGCCTACAGTTTAAACCTGCCAAATTAATTAACTACCGAGTATCAAGTACATAAGAGAACGAATACGCACCATTTCCATCCTGTTTGTTGAAGCAGCTGGCAATGATTTTTGTGTTTTCCAGCTTGCTCTCCTCAGCCCAGCTACTATACACACCCAATCTGGTAAGCTGATTTAAGCATGTACCAATTGCAAATACAAGATTCAATCATCAATTTTAATTACATGCCTCAGTATAAAGCAAGCCAGAATTTCTCCTTTCCACTGAGTCTGATCAAAGCCTGCTAACAGTGTCTAATATTACAGCCTGAGTGTTTAGCTAAGGTCTTTCAGGCTGTTATGAGGTTTATTAGGAACATAATTCATGTATGCCTTTTGATCCATTTGGGTCAGCTGATTATTATTTTTAAGTGTCCCTGATGTTAAGTACATGGCCCCAGAGGACGTAGACTCCAGGGTTTCCAGGAGCTGAGGGACTGTGGTGCATGGACCACATTCCCAGGCCCTTAGTCATAAGGTGCACTCCAGATATTTCTTCCATCTGCCCCAGGCTAGTAGGTTACAGTCACTTTCAGACCAGGCTACCAAAGTACCAGCTGTTCAGCAGAGGTGCTGAAGGAGGTCCATCTAGTCTACACTCATTTTTCTGGAAGTGAGCAGCGTCGCTGTAATTTTTGTGATGTGTAAGAAAGTCACACAGTAGAAGATAGAAAGTCATCTGCTTCTCCACCAGTCCCTACAAGAAATTCACCCAGAAACATGAAGTTCCTTTGCAACATTTTTCAGTTGTATCAATTACAAAGGACAGCAATGCAATTCACAGATGTCTACTCTTCAAGTCAAATGCTTCTTTTCAGTAAGCTCACTGACCTAGCTAGGTGTTGGGTCAGTCTGTTAAGAACTTAAAACATTTCTGTTTTATTTACGACTGACTGGGCACAGGAACCAAGCTCTTACATACTATTTGTTAGACTTATGCTTGTGTTTCCTTTTAGTTCGGAAATTCATCTCCTTGATGATTTAGTAAAAGTAAATGGAAAGAACAGGTACGGAGTAACTAATGAAGGGTGAAGGGGCAGGTCAGTAGAGGATTCCGCCCTCCTTTTTCTCATTTGAGAACTATGACTCCCTTACAGTCACACATCTTTTTTCTCCTCCCCCCATCCTCCCAGGGTTTGGCATGTCTTCCAGTTGAGTTAAAGGATTCTTAGTGTATGATAGACCTTATTACATAGTTAGCACCATGTAATAAATCAAACTCATTTAGGGGTTAGCAAAAACTCCCCCCCAGACCCTTGGAAAACTTCTGGTGCTACCAAAGAGCGTGTGCAACTGAGCATGTCTTTAAAAATAAAGCCACGCTTATTTCTAGATCCGAATTTTAATTTCACTTTGATGCTACCAGATGCTACCTTTAGAATACCACACTTATGTAAAAAAAAAAAAAAAAATTTATGTGCCTGTGTGCTAATGCAGTTTATAACAATTCTATCTGAAGACTATACACATCTTATTAAAACAAGTATTTGGTGCAAATCTTTTACCGCCAACCACAACCAGATGACCATTTCAGAAGCATTCTTGGCAATGCCACCTTTTGTTTAATTATCATGCAGATTACAACTTTAAAGGAAGAGATTTTTTTTTTCCCAGTGGAGCTATGAAAAGCATTAGGCACCATTCAGTGTCATACCAAGCTTTGTTGCTAAGCGAATCACACATGATCAAAGATTACTAGAGGTACTAAATTTAGTAAGCCGGATTTTGTTATTTAGGTTGAACTGTATGTGGACAAATTGATAAAAAAATCACTTAAGTGGGTATCAAACCACAATAAAAAACGGTGATTTGCAGCAGATTTGACATAACCACTTAACAAAAATATACCCCAAACTAAAACCACTGGAATTGCATACTGTTTCTACATTGTACATTCACACCACAGCAATACGAAAATCCACAATTATTTCACGTTCTTTAAACATTCCAAAGCCTTACCTTTGAAGAGCCATTGGAGTACATCTGTATCATATTTTCTGCTCCCTGTTTTACCTTCAGTTCTATATCCAATTGCTTCTTTAAGGCCATCAATCTGTTGTTAGTAGAAAAACGAGGATCGCTATTTGGAGTATCAGGAGTCCTAGGACAATCTGTGAATTAAAGGTAAGAATTAATGTGTGCAAAAAAAAAAAAACCAAACAAACCCAAAAACCAACCAAAAACCCAAACCCCACAAAAACCCAAATGCCTCACACCTAAAACGCCCTAAAATTTTCTATTCTATTAAGTTATAGATTAAACAAAGCTGGAACATCATACTTAAGCACTAAGACTGAGCCTCCTGTCCAGAGCTACTTTGCAACAGCACTGCAAATGCGCCTTAACATGAAAAGCCTCACAAGCCTAGTGACTCCTACACATGCCCTAATTCACATGAATCACTTCCGGGAGTGGTAGAATAGGCAGGTTTGCAATGAGGTCTATTTTCGTTTCACAGGAGATTTATTTCTTCTGCAATGTCTCGAGTCAATTAAAAACACAGTTTTCCATTAAGCTTTCTTACACTTCTGATTTTAAATCTAAGTGTTTTAAAAATGAACTCTGACAATAATATTCAGTACTAATAAGCATGATCTAAATACAGACACTAAGTAGGTTCTCATTAATTCTAGTGTGAACACTGCAAACATGGTTTAGTCAAAATTAGGAACAGATGAAATTAGCCTTTTTCTTAGTCATAAAGCTAAGTGATTTTTGCTTTGGAATCATAACAGTACCCTGGGATAACTGGATATACAGGCAGACAGGTTATTGAACAACTGTGACGTATGGGAAGGATAAAGCTTTTTCCTTTGCCAATATTACTGTGATTAGATCTCCATCTTGCTGGATTAAATGAAACGCAAGTTAGTTTTATCAATCAAATTATACCGTCAAACTCCTTATCTCTTCTATCATCCTCCAGAAAAGTCTATTAATCACCAGTTCACAGCTTAGCTTCTGCAACATGAATTGTTCATGAACTGAAAATAGGTGGCCACTGGACTATTTCATAGTGCTTAACTCTTTCCAACACAACTGTCCTTTTAGCTTCCCTAACAGTCTCAATGGCTTCTCTTTCAAACTTTTTGTAGAAGAGGATAAATTATGTCCACTATATTAATGGTTTTTTTTGTTGCTGATGACTCACAACTGAGGGAACACCCTCTCTATGGGCATATGACATCAGTTGGTCTCCTGGAAGATAATATTTACCCAATACCAACAGTACAGGTGTTTTTCTTCCCCCCATTTTAATTCATTTTCCTTGAATTAAACTAGGATGATGGATCAAATTCCTTAAATCCTCAATTAAAACACAGGCGTTGCAGCAGTTAACTTGCAAATTATTAATTTTGAGTTGTCATGGGAAGGAGGTGTCTTATGTGTCTTTCATATTTCTTCTGTAGAAGCTTCTGATAGCTAGTTTTGAAAGTAAAATGTAATATATCTCCAAGTTTGCTGTGTAATTTCCTCCTAAATTGCAGTCTTTGCTACGTACAGATTTCGCATACGGAGAAGTTCTAATTTCCTCTGCTGCTAATTCACTCTTCATGCCATTTTAAGACTAACTGCAACCTCACTCTTTAAAGGCCAGAAAACACCAGATGTTAAAAAACAAAACAAAACAACAAAACCAAACAAACAAAAAAACAAACCCCAACCAAAAAAACCCAACTGTGTTATTTCTCATCTGTTTTGTTGTTCATCCTCTCCTCAATGTTTTGGCTTGGTTTCTCCATGAAACTGCACTTGAACAGCTTTACCTTGAATCAGGTATTAATAAAACAAATATTAACAATATGTTTTCCTCTCACTTATGTCTCCACATTCAACTAATCCTCACCTAATAACCTATTCAAAATTAGAACAAATGTGAAACTTGAAAGTCACAGTGTCAAGTCTCCTTTTAAAGTAGATTGTATAAATTAGTATTTACCAATTTAAGGTTTATGATGTAGGCCTCTACTAGGAAATCCCAGCCCTCTGATGTTCCCTGGTGTTCCTGAGGTCTGTTTTCACAGCTTTTAAAGATGCACTCAAGCAGTCTTCCTTTGCATTAAAACAACACTCAAGTTGCAAGTCAAGGACTAATTAGAGATACCACGGTTCAGGTTGCTGAGGGAGCTGTTATTATCTCCCTTTGCGTGTCTGCACTGTGAAGGTGTAACCACATCACTTACCTGGATCATCTCAAGAGTTCGTCTGCACTTGTGGACCTAAACTCCCCTCTACCATTTAGTTTAAATGGGTCTACTATATGTTTTGTTAGTAACCAGCAGCAAAGGAAACCTTTCTGCAGCAGGGACTAATGGGTAGTAAGAAAGCATTTTTTGCGTTCAGGCATAATAGCTGCTCCCTAAACTCCGAAACATGGAACACTATGGTGTCTTAAAGTTTTTTTTGGTTTTTAAAGGGTGGGGGGAAAGGTTTATCAACAGCTTTTCAGAAACGGCTTCTGAGTGAATCCTTCTCCCTTGCTCCAGCCCCATTACAATTCAGTAAGCAGCCCGAGGCAGCTTCTTATAAAAGAATTCAGATTAAGGTTTTCAATCAGCCAGACAAACTGGTCCTATTATGGACAGCGTTTACAATCTTCGCAGCAGTACTACAACCGGCACCTGCATGAGCTGTTTCCCTCTCTTCGTAATGTCTGCTGAGGTTGTAGTCACATCGGTATGGCTAGTTATCTCTGATTTTTTGTGTAAAGCACTACACAAAGGAGCTCAAACCTCATCTGCAGACATTTAGTCATTTTCATAATACAAGTAACAAATTCATCCAGATAATTGCAATCAATGTACCGGATTTATGTATATGCAGAGTTTAACAATTGCCTTTTACCAGCACTTCCGCCTAAACTGTGTTTATTAGAGTAATGACACAACTCTACTCTTCTGAGACTGCTGCTCATTCCTTTGGGACTCTTCCCCAGATGCTAGGTACATAATTTCCTCAATAAGCTCAGTGTGAAATCTAGGATTCCGTGTAACTTTGTGAATTTGGGTTCCCAGATGGTACTACAGCATGCTGCTAAGCTACTCAATTAGCAGCAAGTGGCCTTTGGTAAACAGTTAATTTTAATCTTATCTGAGGATATTTAATTGTAGTTAGCCTCATCAGTATCATACCAACAGAAATACCTGTGATGTATGTTTAGGCGTTGCTGGAAGGGGGAAGAAAGAGGCATCATCAGGCTATTTTCAGACACTCAGATGGTTGCATCAGCACGTGAAACAAGCCATCAGTAAGTCCAAAGTATCAGTGGACATACTGCACTCAGAACAACCAGCACTGACCTCCCAAAATCGTGTGAAGTTGAACTGAATTTCTATCGAGTAATGGCTAATGTTAACTACTCAACATGCCAGGCAATTGTTTCAAACTGCTTCAATACTGTTATTATACACAGAGGTTCCCAAAAGTTACCATGAAATTCCTATGGATATGAGCTTTGTAGGTAGCATCTGCTGTCTAAAAAGTCACTACCTCTGCAATTGGGTTGCTCCCTCTACCAGTTTCAAGTGATGTGTTTCATATGGACTCTTACGTGTCTGACGGATTAACCCAGTCATTTGTAGGGACAAAAGAAAAGATAATCCCCAAACCAGTCTCTCTCTCTCTCCAGTCAGCTGGGCATATTCTTAAAAGATTTGTTGTTGTTGTTACTCCTACAGCCGAATATGATGTAAAGTGGACAGCTTAGAAGGTAGTTCATAGAATCACAGAATGGTTTGGGTTGGCAGGGACCTTTAAAAGCCATCTAGTCCAACTCCCCTGAAATAAGTGGGGGACATCTTCAGCTAAATCAAGTCACCCAGAGCCCCCTCCAAGCTGATCTTGAATGTTTCCAGGGATGGGGCATCCACCACCTTTCTCTGCAACCTGTTAGATGTTTCACCACCCTCATTGTAAAAAATTTCTTCCTTATATCTATCTAGATGTACCTTCTTTTAGTTTAAAACCACTACCCCTCGTCCTATTGCAAAAGGCCTTGCTAAATTGTTTGTCCCCATCTTTCTTATAAGCCCCTCTAAGTTCTGAAAGGCAGCAATAAGGTCTCCCTGGAGCCTTCTCTTCTCCAGGCTGAACAAGCCCAACTCTCTCAGCCTGTCCCCATAGCAGAGGTGCTCCAGCCCTCGGAGCATCTTTGTGGCCTTCTCTGGACTCGCTCCAGCTGCTCGATAGCCTTCTTACGTTGAGGGCCCCAGAGCTGGATGCAACATTCCAGGTGGGGTCTCACCAGAGCAGAGCAGAGGGGCAGAATCCCCTCCCTCGACCTGCTGGCCACACTTCTCTGGATGCAGCCCAGGATACGGTTGGCTTTCCGGGCTGCCAGCACACACTGCTGGCTCATGTCCAGTTTTACATCCACCAGTACCCTCAAGTCCTTCTCTGCAGGATCCTTCCCTAAATTCCATCAACTCGCAGCCTATATTGATAAGGGGGTTTTCTTGGCCCATGTGCAGGACCTTGCACTTGGCCTTGTTGAACTCCATGAGGTTGGCAGCAGCCTACTTTTCCAGCCTGTCCAGGTCCCTCTGGATGGCATCCCTTCCCTCCAGCATGTCGACCGCACCACACAGCTTGGTGTCATTAGCAAACTTGCTGAGGGTGCACTTGATCCCATCATCCATGTCACTGACAAAGATGTTAATCAGTACCGGTCCCAATACTGACCTCTGAGGAATGCCACTCGTTACTGGTCTCCACTCAGAAGTGGAGCCACTGACCACAACTCTGAGTGTGATCATCAAGCCAGTTCGTTATCACTGAGCGGTCCAGCCATCAAATCCATGCCTCTCCAATGTAGAGACAATGTCATGCAGGACAGCGTTGAAGGCTTTGCAGAAGTCCAGGTGGCTGACAATGGTTTCCTGTCCTTTATCCACCAAGGTTGTGAACCCCTTGTAGAAGGCCACCAGATTCGTCAGGCATTATCTGCCCTTGGTGAAGCCATGTTGGCTGTCACCAACCACCTCCTTGCTTTCCTTGTGCCTTAGCATGGCTTCCAGGAGGATCTGCTCCATGATCTTGCCAGGCACAGAGGTGAGACTGACTGGCCTGTAGTTCCCTGCATCCTCCTTTTTTCCCGTTTTAAAGATGGGGG